GCTAAATTCCAGGATTCCTACATTATGGAGGACATGAATATCTATATTAACTTGGTGTTTATTTGGTTCCAGACATTGGCCAGAGCTTGTAGAGAGAAATTAACTTTAGCTTTTGGCCGGCTCACCTAAGAAATCATATATAGAAATCATGGTACAAAAGAAGATCAAATCCACTGTTGTTTTAAGCAATTATTGCCTTGCATTTGTCACAAAGTTCAGGGATATTATGATGATCATATTGAACCTTACAATGATGAACCCTGTTTTAGACAAACATGGTTTTCACAAACCTTTCCAGTCACACGCTGTTATTTCTAATACTGAATTAGAACCTGTAGCAATACAGAGCCAGGCATGGGATAGCCCTGTGACACACGCAGCCATGTTACTGGCATCCCTTCCGGCATCACTCTGGCCGTGGTGGGGTGACATTCTTGGCTTCTTGATGTGAATGTGCAGAATTTTGTTGTACCTGCCGTTGTAGGTTTGCCCAACGTTTTGTACAAAGTGGGTCAAGGGAGGTGTCTATTGAAAGCTGATACTTTGCTGGTTGTGTTTCTACTATTCATGTGCATGTCAGAGTCTTCTATGTAGAGTGATAAGTATTGGCCATGTTCTGACATTCTAAGTATTTGCTTCAGAGAGATATCAACAGGCTTCACCCGCCTATTGTAACAGGGTGGCTACTCAAGTGAATTAAAGTTCTTGACTGGCAATGAACCTTAACTGTTGCCAATACACATTTGAGGAATGTTGCTGTAAACCTCAGCCTCTTCTTTCTTTAATAAACCTTTAGAGGTTAGATTGAAAAGAACTGGCCCAGCGTATATCTGCACTTGCCCCCTAGTTAGGACTAAGGAGGCAAATGAAGCATACCGAAGTTGCTAATGAAGCTCAGGATTTAAATATCCCACGCTTGATCAGCATATTTGCGGCCTATCGCCATTTTTAGAAGCTGGAAGCCTGAATTACCGTGCCACGTGTAGACGCCATATTCCATCAGAAAACCCTTCCCTCGATTTAACTGTTACTCCTCGTTCAATGAGAAATAACAGTTAAATCAAGGAAAGGGTTTTCTAACGGAAAACTGCATCTACACACGACGCAGTAATTCGGGCTACTGGCTTTTTTAAATGGCGACTGGCTGCGAATATGCTAATCAAGCGCGGGATATTTAAATTCTGCGCTTCATTAGAAACTTCAGTATACATCATTTGCCTCCCCAGTCCAAACTAGGGGGCAAGTGTAGGGTGCAAGAGCATACCCCCAGCGTGCTCTTCTGGATAAGCTCTGAGGCTGTGTCTAGACTACATGCCTCTGTGTCAGCCGACGGTCAGGGCTCCCTGTATCTGTCCCTTAAGACCGGCTGAAGTTCTTTTAAATTGTGCCTGGTTCTGTTACAGCAACTGAAGGAGTCAGGTTAAAACTTAAACAGTTACAGGTTTATTAAAGAAGCTTATAAATCATATGGTTACAATGGCTATTGCTCTATTTCTTAACTACTAGCAAAATATAGATCTTAAAAATGGTTACAAAAAAGATAAAGATAGAAAAATAGAAATAATGGTACCAAGTAACAGCTTACTCTTTCTATGTGTACACTTAAGACAGAGGACCACATCCAGGTACAATTTTTACCCCCTTCTGTGCCTCTCGACTCCAGCATGTCAGGCCAGGGCCGGTCCCTCAATTCCTAGGAAAGACGAAAATACGAGGTGGGCGTCCCCATAGAACCTCGGGAGGTCAAACACCTAACCCGACCAGCAGGTAGAGGGTAGAATGACACTCAAAAGAGTGTGCTGCTGTACCACCTTTATACTCATGGGGTCACGTATTTCTCTTTCTTATCTTAATTGCCAATTGATGCTGGTCTGTCTGCTGTGAGACCAGTTCTTACAAGGGAGTTGTGAACTTAATTTACACTTGTAAGAGAGATTTGAGGTGATTAAATTTTGAAGTACAGGACATTGTTTTCTCAGTGGGAAATTCCTCTTCCTGGGACTGTGTGTGTTCGAATCAACATAGAGGCCAGCCGCAGCCTCGAGGCCAGCTTATTGACTTAGCTGCTCTCTATCCACATATCTGTGTTTCAGCTTCTCAGGATCAGATGAGCCAGCATAGACTATGCTGATATTATTGCTCCTTCTCTGCCCTGTGCTTCAGAGAGGCAAATAAGATGGATAATATAGGGGTTAGTCTGTCTGGCTACATTTACAATTAATAATTCTACAATTTCATATTTGAGTTCTTTCAGAACTCTTGGGAGAAAGCCATCTGGTCCCGGTGACTTATAACTGTTTAATTTATCAATTTGTTCCAAAACCTCCTCTAATGACACCTAAATCTAGGACAGTTCCTCAGTTTTGTTACCCTAAAAAGGATGGCTCAGATTTGGGAATCTCCCTCATGTCCTCAGCCATGAAGATTGATACAAAAAATGAATTTAGTTTCTCAGCAATGACCTTATCATTCTTCAGTGCTCCTTTAGTTTCTTGATTATCCAGTGGCCCAGCTAGTTTTGTAGTAGTTTTCCTGCTTCTAATGTTTTCTGAGTCACAAAAACATTTAGACTGCATCTAGACTGGCAGCTGAGTGGACAAACAGCTGATCAGCTGTTTGTCGGCTCAGCGCGGCAGCCATGTAAATTTAAATGAAGCCGCGATCATTTAAATCGCGGCTTCATTTGCCTTTGCCAAAACAACAAATCTACATGGCTCCTTCAACGGAGCCATGTAGTTTAGACGTACCCTGAGGTATAAATTGGCCTGAGAATGGAGCTGGTCCTTTAGCATTGGAAGAACCTGTTTGGAGTTGGTGCGATTGGTTTTCATAACCTCTCATCCATGTAGGGTGCGGTGCTGGCTGAGACAATGGGAAAGCTGGAGTGTCTGAGGGGATTCTCAGTGTGGCAAACAGAAGTGCTCTTTTTGACTGGTTCAGTGCGTGTTTTAGTGGAGGTCCTCCGCTCTTGGGCTTTAAGTAGCCCCATTTCTAGCATTCACCCTCATTTGACCCTCTCATCGGTGTCCCCAGAACCCATGGCTGCTGGTATTTGCGTCAGACTGGGGGAAAAATACTCAGCAGCAGCCACACAACACACCACAGAAACACTTCCCCAGGAACCTACTCCTGCAACATAGCCCATTGCCAGTTCTGTCCACACACCCATACTAGCAACATCATCACAGGAGCTAACCACATACGCCCCAACATCAGGGGCTCATCCACCTGCACATCCTCTAATGTGATATGTGCCATCCTGTGCCACAATGCCCCTCTGCCATGAGTATTGGCCAGACCAGACTGTCTCTGCACCAAAGGATTAATGGACCCAAATCAGACATCAAGAATGGGAACATACACAAACCTGTACCTCTCTATTACTATTAAACCTGTAGAGGAACATTTTAACCTTCCTAGACAGTCAATAATGGCTTTGAAAGTAGCCATCTTTCTACAAAACAATTTCAAAACCTTTCTCAATGGGAGACAGCTGAACTAAAGCTTCAGGGGGCAGCCAAGTGAGTCTGAACAGAATAAACTTAGAAAACAACAAATGGCCTGGTAGCACTTTATAGACGAACAGAACATGTAGATGGTATCAGGAACTTGCGTGGGCACAGCCCACTTCTCTTGAATTTAGGATGTGCAGACCCACAATAAATAGGGGAGAAAGAAGAGGGGGAAGGGAAAAAAAGGAAGGGAGCGGGAAACAAGAAGCAGAGGGTATAAAAATATCAAAGGGAAAAACAAGTAGGCAGGACTGGCAATCTATAAACACCTAAGGACTGGATAGTTAAAAAAAGCTAATCTTTTTTTTCCTTCCCTCCTCTCCTCTCCCCTCTCTTCTCTTTATTTTGGGTCTGCACGTCCTAAACTCAAAACTCCGGTCATCTGAGGAAGTGGGCTGGGCCCATGAAAGCTCCTGATACCATTTACATGTTTTGTTAATCTGTAAAGTGCCACCAGACCATTTGTTGTTTTTTAAATATAAGCTGAACTAACGTTCATTTGCAAATTCAACACAATCAACTTAAGACTGAATAAGCATCTTAACTGGTTAACGCACTACTCTTTTGATAGTCTCATCTCCACATCAACTGCTGTGAATGAGTCACTTCCATCCGGATTTGATTAACGCAAGTAACGTCTCTCTTTTGTTGTCCTTATAGGTAGTCGCTGCCTCTGTATCTTCCACTCAGATTCACCTGATGAAGTGAATTTTACCCATGGACACTTGTGCCCTATGAAGTCTGTTGGTCTCTAGGGACACGTCTACACAGCAAGGCTAAAGTCAGAATCAGCCACACTACTTGAGTAACATCGATTGTGTAGCTTAAGTTGCAATAGCTTATTTCGGATTTTGGCACTGTCTGCACAGCAGGAAGTCCGAATTAGAGCACTCTTCCTCCAACTTCCCTTACTCCTTGTAAAGTGAGAGTTACAGGAGTCGGAGTAAGATGTCCTTCAGCTCGACATTATTTCAACATTATGTCAAAATAACTGTTTTCTGTGGTCATAGCATCAGCTTTTCTGAAATAATCCTGCTGTGCAGATACAGCCTAAAACGCCATAGGACTCCTCCTTGCTTTTGTAAATACAGACTAACCCAGCTAACACCCTCTGACTTATTTTTGGAGTAAGACCCATTGAATTCACCGGCTCTTCTCTTTTTTGAGAAAACGAGTACAGAATGGGGTTCCCTTTGGAGAGCTGAGTTCTGCAGAAGTAAAACAGGGAATAGACTCATGGCATCACTATTGTGGTCTGTAGCCATCATGTTCCTAAATAAGGGGTCTGTCTTATGTAATATAACATATGAAAACGACATACGGTGGCAACTGGCAACTGTAGATTTCTCTTACTGCAGTTTTCTGCATTGTGTAGTTGGGGGAGCGATTCTAAACCTAGTTCACTAATTGAACAAGCCATAAGGATTTGCGAAGCTAAAACTTTTTTTCTATCGACACCCAACACAGCAAACAGCTTGGGAATTTACTCGTCACATCACATTTATACGAAACAGCACAGAGAGGGTGCTTTGCCAAGTGAATCTGCCCAACCTGTGTGTCTTTGCATGTGTTCCCGCAGTCTGCTGAGAAACGGAAATTGTAAGGCGAGAACTCTCAGGAAGAAGATCAGGTAGTTAAACAGGGCAGATTAGAGCCGTTCATTCCCGTTTTATGAGGTTGTAAGTGTATGTCCAGCATGTTAGTGATGAGATGTAATTGTAACTGTTACTTTGAAAACACAAAATTTAGTATTTTATCAATGATTTTAAAAAACAAAAAAATACGATTTAAATTAAAAAACTGATTTTTAATATATTTTTTTAATCATTGCTTTGTGTCCACCCTGGAAATTATCCAAAGCAATGACACCATTTGAAATCCTGTCTTGTCTCCCAGCGGTAATGAAAGATTCACTGACACATTGTTTGTTTTTGTCAAGATTCGTCTGTCCAAAGAGAAGCAAGAATGTTGAAGGGGATCAAAATAGGGCTCGCACTCACTTTTGTCTTTGTCCTGGCCTTTGTCTATAAACGTTTCCTGCCGCGTGGCCACAGCTTCTTTTGGACGCCGAGTCCTGAGCTCTTCGCGACACAAAAGGATGATGTGAACCAGACCAGCGGCATCATCTTTGTGGAGACCACATACCGCTTGCAGATTCCTCCGTTGGCTTCATGTTCTGTGGAATCTGCTGCCAGGGCCTACCCTGACAGACCTGTTCTTTTCTTCATGAAAGGGCTGAAAAATAACACATGGCGGGATTCAAGTTCCAATTCCACAGCCTTGGCTCTGCTATCTGCAATGGAGAATGTCTTCCTTCTTCCTCTCCTGATGGAAACTGTTTTCCAGGAGACACCTCTTCTCCCATGGTATCATAAGGTGAGAGGAAACACGAAGGGGGAAATATTTTTGAACAAGATTCAAAGTAGAAGTGGAGGGAAATGAAGGTTTTTACACTTTATTCAAGTTTTGAAGCCGTTGTCATTTTGCTGTACAGAGTGTGGGCCCCTTTTTCATGACATTTTCCCATGCATTAAATATTCATTGGAATTGTTACGGACATTGTCCATTTCCTGGGGGCAGGAGTTATGGCAAATGGAGCATTTCCATCGTCATTTCAGTATTTATATTGTCTCAAAGTGGTGAATCCCCCTTTTTCCAGAAAGGCAAGAGGTCGATTCAAATGTTTTTGACACATTTCAGGCATCATGAATGTAAAGTGAGGATTTGCTGTTTGGGAAATATGATTTCAGTGCTTGTTGAAGGTGTCTGGGAGTCACGGAAATGTCTGGGCACAAGATTTAGAAGCAAGAGAGAAATGCAGAGGTCAGTTTGGGTGGGGTGTTCTAGTCTTTACCAGCTCCTTTCAGAAGGGTTATTTTGAGAGTTCACTCCCCTTGGAGTTCTTGCTTTGGCCTATTTGAAAACACAGGCTGGAATCCTCCTAAATGTTAGGAGCTAGGATCACTAAAGTTGGTAGGAAGCTTTCTCTTCTCATAACTTAAAAACAAGGTAAGACTTCAGTTGTGCCAGGAAATTGGGATGTTCCTAGAATGGGACTGCTCCTCACAAAACTGTACATAAAAGGCAGGTGAAAGGAGACACCGGGGTCTCCCCATTGGGGACTGCCCCATCTCTGGACCTTCCCCCAGGTGTTCTTTAGAGGGAGATAGTGTCCCCCCCCCGATTCAGAGGGGGACATTGCTGGCTGTTCCCCTTTGTCAGGGAGTGAGGGGAAAGTGCACAGTTGGCTGCATTTCCCACTCTGGCTGGGGAGTACAAAGGGCAGATGTACCTGGACCTGGACCAGCCCCAGCTGGGGACATGCGCCCTTCCCTCTGTTTTACTGGCTGGAGCTGGAGCAGCCATGGAGAGATGCTTCCCACTTAGCACCAAGCTCCTGCAGTGAGAGAGCGCTGGGTTAGTCCTCCCCTCCCCAGCATCCTGAACCCCTCGTCCCCAGGTCCAGTATTTAAATGAAGAAAAACAAGAATTAGTTGAATTAAGGCCCTGAGCCAGGCCGGGAAAATCTTCTAGTTCGTTTGTAAATGAAAGCAGGGAGTCGTGGGAACAAGCAAGCACCTGGCTGCAATATTGGTACACTGGCCCGCCCTGCCCCCAATAAGGCCTGAAGTTCTCTCTCACTTCTTATCCTCTGCAGAGATTACCAGCAGAGGCCCCTTCCAAAGCCCTCAAAGTCAGTGAGAATCTCTCAGTGGAATCATAGGGGCTTTTGGTCAGACATTGCGTGTGCCAATTGACATGGGGGGCTGTTTGGGGGAAATTACAGTTAAGGGTTAGTGATAATGAAGGGTAATAATAATGAAGGAGAACTGCATAAAACTGAAGCAGAAATGAAAAGACCCAGTGCCAAAACTGACATCTTGACAAGCAATAAAGTAAAAGAAACAGTGAGAGGCAAAAAAAATAAAATAAAATAAAAACAAAATAAAAGAAACTTAACAAAATGGAAGTGAAATCCAAGTGAAGACAGTGGAACGGAGCATAAACTCTGACAAGTGTAAAAATACAATTTTTAAAAGCCAAAAAGAATGTGAAGAACAGCTCGCCAAAGTCTCTAAAAGTAATAGCGAAAAGGACAGTAGAAGCAGGAAGCCAACTAACCCACCAATGGGGCCACTGAACGATCCAGATGCTAAAGGAGCACTCGAGATAAACGGATCAAACAGATAAATTACCCTGTAATAAGACACCCCACACCAGATGGCATTCACCCCAGAGTTCTGAAGGAACTCAAATATGAATTTGCAGAATTACTAACTATAGTGTCAGCGGGGTGGCTATTTTAGTCTGCACTGGCAAAACCAATGAGAAGTCCTGTGGCACCTTAAAGACAAACACATTTATTGGGGCATAACCTTTTGTGGGCAAAGAGGATGAATCTGATGGGCAGGAATAGTGTCCCTACATTCTGTTCACTCCCTCTGGGGCACCTGGCAGTGGCCACTGTCTGAAAATAGGATCCTGGGCTAGATACTTAGTGTGACCTAGTATGGCCCTTGTTATGTTACTAAGATTCAGATGTTATAATTCTTGGGTGTTTCCTTGGGGTTTCCTGTGCCTGGGACACTTGTACAAAGACACTGAACAAAAGCTACATGTGCTCCTGCCTTTTTCCAACAGTGTGTCACACCTGAGCAAGAAAAACGGCCGTTATTTGAGGAAGGGATTACAGTTAGGACAGACACGGCTGAAAGTTTTGTAGAGGACATAGCTAACGAAAGCAGATGTTGAGATGTTTCGAAGTGGAGTCAATTGCATCTCTGTGATCCCTGTCCACCTCTGCAGGTAAATCCAGCCCAGGAAAGGTACTGGCTTCATGTCAGCTCTGACGCTAGCAGACTTGCCCTCGTCTGGAAATACGGTGGGATCTACATGGACACCGATGTCATCTCCATGAGGCCTATTTTAATGGAAAACTTTGTGGCGGCCGAGGCGTCCCAGGTCTCCGGAAGTGCGATTTTTGGCTTTTCTCGCCATCATGGGTTCCTCTGGGATTGCATGGAGGATTTTGTTCAAAATTACAAAGGAGACATTTGGGGATACCAAGGGCCCAGCTTACTAACAAGGAGGCTCAAAGCGTTGTGCACCCTGACCGATTTCCATAACGTAGAGGATATAAACTGTCAAAACATTTCCTTCCTGCATCCTCAGCGTTTCTACCCCATCCCCTACTCGGCTTGGAATCGGTACTTTGAAGTCTGGGAGAAGAGCTTCAACTTCAACAACTCCTATTCCCTGCATCTGTGGAACTACATGAACCGGGAACACAAGCCTGTGGTTGCAGGAAGTAACACCTTAGTGGAAATTCTCTTCAAAACATACTGTCCCACCACGTACAAGGTCCTTATTCAAGGCCCAGAAGGCAGTGTTCCATAGGCAACAAATCAAGACTGAATGACGGCATTAGCAGAACAACGTGACTCTTCCAGCCCTGACAGCCCTGGGACTAAATCAATTGTGCACAACACGGATCTCCTCTGAGTCAGTGACTCCCAGCCCTTTTCTGTCTGTGAGTGACTTGGTAGGAGAGAACCTCTCAGAATCCATCTCTTCTCCCAAGGTTTACCAGGAGTGAATAAAATCAGTAGGCAAGCAAGGGTGTAAATACCATTGTGGATGACTTGACAAGCACCTAAGTGATCTGGGAGCCTGAGTACTAGTGTGAAAGGTCACATTGGCTTTGGGGTCCAAAGCACCTCTGAAAATCAGGGCGACTCAGGAACCAAAGGGCCAGATGTTCACAGCGTTTAATGCCTAGAGATGCCCCTAAGTGTACTAGAAAATCCCATTGGGCATCTGTCCTCCCCCTCAGGTGCCTCAATGCCTTTCAGAATTTGTTCCTTTAGATGTCTTTGGAAATTTTGCCTAGCCGCTTGCTGCGAGTGTCTATAGCACCCTGTGCAATGAGCCTGAGGCTTCGCCCTGCTACTGTAATATTGATGTTCAGTAACTGTGAATACAATAACGCTCCGTGAACAACAGCCCACACCTCCCGCCTCCTCCAAATGTTCACTACGATTGTTTGTTTTACTTCTCCTTTTCTCCACCCCGCACAGTGGGTGCAGGCAGGGGGCTGCTCCAGCCCTGCAGAACTCACCATCCCTGACATGCCACAGACAGGGGCAGCTCCCACCGGGATGAAA